AAACCTCATTTTCTGGGATGATTAAGTTCAAATGAAAACTCCATGAACAAAAAAATCCCAACTCTAATTAACCAAAACCTTTATCCAGAGGCAGACACCTGTCATAGAAAACTCCAGTTTCTACTGGTGATGCATGATACAGTTTTAATTGTTCAAAGAGAAAAATCCCAGAATACTACGATGAACAGCTAATTTTAACTAGCACTAACAGTTCTGCGTGTGATCTGTGTGATCCTGATTTTGAAATGACAGGATGGAACCTCCTTGAAACAGGAGATCCACTAACAGAAATTGCCTTCCTTGAACACTTCATAATCTAAAATAATCAAAATTAAAATGTTTGTGTTCCATTTTTGTTATTAGCAGAGTGTCTCCATAGGGCCAATGCTTTAAAAGGCTGAGTGGAGGGGAATCCATTCTTCACTGCTGAACAGAATGGATCCTTAGTGGTGTCCTGCTATGCATCTCTTCAATAGAAACAACGTTATATAAACTGGATTACAAGAGATTATTTTGAAAAGAGTGAGAAGAACTTGTCATGCAAACAAGCAGCTGATCCTCAGTGGATTCATTGCAAATATGACAAGGTATTATTTATCTATGTTCATGTATTCCAGAAAACTGTTTCTAAACCATTTTGCTATTTTCAAAGCACTTCTGTCAAAGATTTACAGCCTACTCATAAGGCCAAGAGAGGGAAAAAAAAAAAAAAAAAAAAAAAAAAAAAGAGATTCCCTGAACCAAACAGAGCAGAAGAAGTTGCAAGCAATGACAGAGACAGGTATACCAAGTTGCTACCCCAATGCCAATGTTCAGTTTTCTCTACATTGAGCCTCTGATATTTTCGGAGGTTGGTAATTACTGTTTTGTCTTTCAAACTGAGACCACACATGCAACATAAACTTTGCATTGGAAGCGGTGCAAATCAATATGCTGCATTCAGGTTTCCTTTACAAGGCAGACGTTCCCAAATTAGGTTACTGTAGGTATCCCATAATAGATATAAATTTTGCTGCGCATTACATCTAATTGAATTAGAATCTAACCCAGCCCTCTCCACTAGAACAGTGAAAGATTTTGCTTTATTTCTAGATCCTAATGGCATTTTACATTTCCCTCTACATGCAAAAAGTTCAGAAGCAACAGTTTTGTCTTAGGTTATCTTCTTTTGGATAACTTCAGCCACAATAGCTTGGTGAACTCAGATGCAGCACTTGTAAGTTACTCCATTTATTACATCAAATATTTTCAAGACTTGCTCTTTTGAAGGCATTATGATATCTGTCCATATTTTGATGGACTTTCAATTTGAACATTCACCAAGTAAGCTGGAAATAACAACTGTGTGTATGGTTTAGATATTGAAAATCTACAATTTCAAACACTGAACAAGCACCTTCAGTTGACATAAGTTTGGCAACTCATCAAGCTTCTTACTCACAGCTTTACTATCATCATTCACAGGTTACATGAGAAGATTAATTGTCTATTATTCTCTTCTTGGGGGGGGGGGTGAGCTTTCTTCTTCATACGGATGATTTTGCAAGTCCTTTTCCAGGTGCTATGTAAAGTTCATATTTACTCTAGCTCTTTTCACTTAGAGTTCAGGTATCACTTATTTAGACTTAAGATTTATTTGTCCATCAGCTTCAACTGGCATTGCTGTTAAAGATGCTGACACAGGGCAGAAATCATAACATGTCAGTATTAAACTACGAAGGATTATTAGGAATCCAACCTATGGAACATATGAAATTTTATTTCAGAGTTTAATCTGTTTCAGTGTAACAATTGCTCTTGCCACTCAAATTTGCAGTCTCTTTTGGTGCCAGTTCCTCCATACCTTCTGACATCCTTAGTATCAATTTAAATTTCCTCTCCAGTCCTGAGTAGTGTTATCTACTAGCTAGTTCTTAACAGTGATTTTAAAACATATCACTAAGTTATACAACATAAGTTGCTCCATTGCTTTCTCTACTCAATTTCTTATCCTAACGCTTGTATTATTACTCTTTCATTAGGTAACAGATAACATACTTGGAAATACTGTTATTCAAAGTATGACACAGTTGTAGAATTACTCTGCTAGTTATTATTGCTGATTGGTCCTGCATAATGCTTTTACATTATAGTTTTCATGTATATTAAATTATGAGTTGTATCATTGCTGTGAAAAGTTGTGCTAAAAGCCTGCTGTTATTGACAGCAGCTTTCACCAGAGTATTAGCCAGCCCTTAAGAAATCCTGGGTCTGGGGACACCTTAAATAATAAGGATCACAACTGTGAAATTGATTTAAAACAGAAGAGGGCAGATCTTCTATTCCTGCAAGTATTTGTACTGCATTATTTTACTGGAATCAACTTGAAACGTTGCTGGGTTTATGCCCAAATAACCTAGGCATCCCTGTAGTCTACCAGGGATAACAGAAGTCACAAATAAAGTCAGATAATCACATGCACAGTGAAACAGATTTTCTTAGGCAGAGAAAGATGACAAAAAAAGAAGTTGGATGCAAGCAATCAAATTGCTGAAGTAGAAATCAAACCATCCTACTACGGGACCTACAGAAAGAAGCCACAGGAAGAGTTTGCTTCTGAGAACTCCCTTCTGAATTCAGTTTCAATAGCTCTTCAGCTACAAAAAAATTTTATTGAAAGCAAGTGGGATTAGTGGGATGATTTTATGCGGTGAAAGCCAGACAGAGCTGGTTTCGTCCTGTACTGCTGACAATTAGTCCAGATCACAAGACTAGTTGCTACTCAACAAGACACCTAGCAGTAAAAACGTTCCTCATCATGACCATCCAGATGTTAAATCTCTTGTTACCCCGGACACCTGCCACCTCTTTCAGATGGAACAATCAATGCTTCAGAGATACACAGGAGAAAAAAAAATATCATTCAGGGTCGGTTTGAAAGACTCTCAGTAGCATAGGCAAAAGCAAATTTTGCTGTCACATGAATGAGAGGCTACTTTTCATCCTGCAGGGAAGGCATGCATAAAAAAAGCACAGAATTAT